GTGTGCCTTGGCAGCCTAGACAACTCCGCCCTCTATGTTAGAGGCAGAGCTGCAGTATGACGGGGGATCAATACCAATCTCCCGGGGGAGGTCACTGAGGTAGTCTAACAACTCCACAGTGGCAAAGCCCCGGGGGTGGATGAGACCCGCCCAGAAATGCTGAAGGCTCTGGGTGTTGAGGGACTGTCATGGTTGACACGTCTCATCAACGTTGCATGGAAGTCGGAAACACTACCGAAGTAGTGGCAGACCGGGGTGGTGGTTCCCCTTTTCAAAAAGGGGGATCAGAGGGGGTGTGCTAATTATAGAGGCATCACACTACTCAACCTCTCCGGGAAAGTTTACTCTAAGGTACTTGAAAGGAGGGTCAGGCCGATTCTCGAACCTCAGATTGAGGAGGAACCATGCGGATTCCTTCCTGGTCGTGGAACGACGGATCAACTTTTTACTCTTGCATGTGTTTTGTAGACTTGGAGAAGGCGTATGACCGGGTTCCCAGGGAGTTACTGTGGGAGGTGCTGCAGGAGTATGGGGTGAGGGGGTCTCTACTCAGGGCCATCCAATCTCTGTACTCCCAAAGCGAGAACTGTGTCCGGGTCCTCTGCAGTAAGTCAGACCCATTTCCGGTGAGGGTTGGCCTCTGCCAGGGCTGCGCTATTACCGATCCTGTTTGTAATGTACATGGATAGGATTTTGAGGCGTAGTCGTGGGGGAGGGCGTCTGCAGTTCGGTGGACTAAGGATTGCACCACTGCTTTTTGCAGGTGATGTGGTTCTAATGGCTTTATCGGTCTGCGACCTTCAGCACTCACTGGATCGGTTCGCAACCGAGTTTGAAGCGGCTAGGATGAGGATCAGCACCTGCAAATCTGAGGCCATGGTTCTCAGCAGGAAACCAATGGACTGTCCACTCCAAGTAGGGAATGAGGCCTTACCCCAAGTGAAGGAGTTCAAGTATCTGGGGGCCATTTTCATTCCTACCCTCACCTATGTCATGAAGGATGGGTCATGACCAAANATGAATGAAAACAATCTGCGTGTTGATGGAATGTACTTTCTTTCTATTGACGAACACGTCCTCATCTTTTGATGGCGCAATTATTTTTATGTGCGTCCCCGGGACGCACATAAAAATAATTGCGCCATCAAAAGATGAGGACGTGTTCGTCAATAGAAAGAAAGTACATTCCATCAACACGCAGATTGTTTTCATTCATCATGATAGGGGGACTTGAACGGCGGTATGGGCTGTTATTGAAAGTGTTTAAGTGCTGGAAATATGCTCATTGGATAATAGTTTGCAGGGTGCTTTTAATTGCCTCCTCGATTTAATGCAATTTACGTATTTTTATTGTTTGTTCTCTCTCTTTAACGTGCATATAACGTTATTATCGTGGTCTGCACAAACTTGTCATCATGCGTGTATTCTGCTAACTGCTAAATACATTTCTAGCCTAGGCTATTTCCTTGTTTTTCGGTGATTTAGTGGGCTCGTTTGTGGGATGTTGCGGATGAGTTTCACCGAGTGAACAACCAATCACCGTACTGACCGCTTCTAAACTCATGCACGAGAATCGACGTATCCATAGCAACGGCGCGTCACTCTTAGTTCACTGTTAGTGATTTATCCTTAGTATGAGTAGGTCTCAGCGGCTTTGTGAATAACTTTTAAGAAAAAACTCCTACGTAAAATGTTTTAGCGCGAGTTAGGAGCACTCCTAGCGGTAAGATAAAATGCTTCGTGAATACGGCCCCAGATGTCTATATTCAAACAGAATATTATTCTGCAAATATGATCTTCCTTTTAAATCATTTTTTTAGTTATCCATTCTTTCATCATCATTTTCAAAATGTGTAGATCTTATGTTGTAATAATTATCAATTCAACTTTTTGATTCAGTTTACATAGTGCTTTTATAATGTGGACAGATTATTCTTGCTTTTTAAAGAGTGTTCTTATATGGCATTGCACGGCTCTACGTGCATCTGCTAATTGCCCAAATGGGAATAGGATTACATTTAATTATAACAACAGTAAGCATTTTATGGATTTCGAATATTTGATATAATTTATAAGCATTTAAATACTATTTAAAGTGTCATAAGAAACACACTATTGAACTCACAATACACTCCACAGAGTAACAGTATGTACATTCACCTCCATATACTAACCTCCATATCTTTGTGTACACTGCTCGTATTGTCCAAAAAAAGTAGGTTTGTCATTCCGACTATCATTATATCAGCCTTCTTGCAAAACAGGACACAGCGACAGTATTACCCCGCTTCCCGGTATTTGGCTGCTCGGGTTTTAAATGACACTGAGAGATCGATCATGGGTGAAATTACACTATATACATTACACTCTGGGTTTAGGCTCAACTCTAAGCAAGGTAGGAGCAATCTCTGAGAGAAGATAAATACTCAGACTAGTCCACCTTTATCTACTCCTTCCACTCTCTGGATTAACAGCAAATGTATTTACAGAGAGTTTATTGCTGGTGTCAGACTTCCTAACCTTGATTTGAGGTGACTATTTTCTATAAAGTTGGAAGTTGCTCGCTCAGTTTTTAAACCTCACAATAACACACCCATTTCTCTGGAACCATTTCTATTAAAGGGCATTTACTGCAGGTAACAGATGTCCTGTATAATTATAGTCCTGGGGCCGTATTCACAAAGCATTTTATCTTACCGCTAGGAGTGCTCCTAACTCGCGCTAAAACATTTTACGTAGGAGTTTTTTCTTAAAAGTTATTCACAAAGCCGCTGAGACCTACTCATACTAAGGATAAATCACTAAGAGTGAACTAAGAGTGACGCGCCGTTGCTATGGATTACGTCGATTCTCGTGCATGAGTTTAGAAGCGGTCAGTACGGTGATTGGTTGTTCAGAGCAGGCGGTCTCGGTGAAACTCATCCGCAACATCCCACAAACGAGCCCACTAAATCACCGAAAAACAAGGAAATAGCCTAGGCTAGAAATGTATTCCTATCAAATAGTTATGGACAGTGCAGTTAGCAGAATACACGCATGATGACAAGTTTGTGCAGACCACGATAATGACGTTGTATATGCACGTTAAAGAGAGAGAGCAAACAATAAAAATACGTAAATTGCATTAAATCAAGGAGGCAATTAAAAGCACCCTGCAAACTATTATCCAATGAGCATATTTCCAGCACTTAAACACTTTCAATAACAGCCCATACCGACGTTCAAGTCCCCCTATCATGATGAATGAAAACAATCTGCTTGTTGATGGAATGTACTTTCTTTCTATTGACGAACACGTCCTCATCTTTTGATGGCGCAATTATTTTTATGTGCGTCCCGTCAATAGCACCGACCACACCGGGCATACCTGCAATTGCAATGAAGTTGGCTTTGACCCTGTGTAGTTGTTGATTGTCCAAAGGAAACCGGATAAACTGTTGGATGATATGTGGTCTAGAGAGCGCGTTGATGGTTTGGTTTATGGCACGGCTGACTGATGGTTGCGATATTCCTAAATCGTCGGCATTGCAAAGTTGCATTTTCCCTGTTGCTAAATATCGTAGTGTTGCCAAACATTTTATTTCCGGACTAATCGGGTTATTCCTGTTAGTCGGGGATGTTATTGCATCCCGCACTAATTCCACAACAAGTTTGATACCCTCACGATTTAGCCTATATCTCTTGATCAATTCACAGTCTTCCATTGTCTCCAAAACATTTCGTCTCGCAGCCATTTTCAGATTCTTTGTGAATAGGTCTTACTGAGTTAGGAGTCCTCTCGAGGACTTTTAAGCTCTCCTAAACTTAGGTGCTACTTTTAGGCCTAAAATACTTTGTGAATTGCTCTTAGTGAATAAAATTAGGAGTCCTAAATGTAAGACTGACACGCCCATTATGTTTAGGAGTTCTCCTAAATTCGCAAGTTAGGAGCTACTTTTAGCCCTAAGATCCTTTGTGAATACGGCCCCTGATGTGTATCATTCATTTGTTCATGTTGTGTCTGGTGATAAGATTAATTAATTAATTAACGTATTTATTATTTTTGAAACATTA